AACTGTGGAGCTACAGTTGTAACTAGGCCCGGCATGGACAGGTGGTTAGGGCGCCAAACATGCTCGCCCTTTCAACCGTGGGGGCGTTATAATTTGACGGTCAATCCTACTATTCGTTGGTAAAATAGTAGCCCAAGAGTTGGCGGTGGGTGGTGAGGACTAGCTGCCTTCCCTCTAGTCTTACACTGCTAAATTAGGGACGGCTAGCACAGATAGCCCTCGTGTAGCTTTGCGCGAAATTCAAAACAAACATACATAGCTGTAACTTTCAATATTATTAGTAAAACTTTATAAGACACTGAAATAATCATTTACCAAGCAACTTAAAATTACTTTAAGTTCAATCAGTTGCAGACATTTAAAACATGGTTTAGAAAACTCTGATTGCGGGAAAAGTGGCGTAAATTCAAACAATACCCCTCCCCCGCATAAAAAAGTAAATGGGGCCCCTATTGTCATATAATAACAAAATTAATAACAGCGAAATCATTTGTTTGATTGTTTTGAATTTCACACAAAGCTATTCGAGAGCTATCTGCACTAGCCGTCCCTAGTTTAGTAGTGATAGACTAGAGGGAAGGCAGCTAGTCAACACCACTAACTGCCAATTTTTGGGCTATTCTTTTAACAAAGAATAGTGGGATCGATCGTATATTATAACGCCTTCGTGGCTGAGCCAGGGATTCGAGCCCGCAAGTCTATCACCCTAACTATCAGGCTACGACCAAATTGCCCTCTTTGAGTAATGAGCAGTTAGAATTTGAAGAATTTATATTAACTTATTTATGGAGATTGAAATTTACTAATTGAAAATATAATGATGTTCGTCTTCTATAACAAATTAATCATTATTTTATTGACTCGGTTGTTTAACATATATGTGTTAACAAAATACCTAATTCATATATATTTCACGCTTGACTGAAATATGTAATTCTTAATTAAGTTGTACTGACTTGCTATTTAGCCAAGTGATTATCAGTAACTGGTTTGGGTTACCTCCTTTTTTTCTAAGCTCTTACAATGTCAGCGTAGAATAATCCATTCTTGAAATAGTACAGGAGAAAAATAAACACTAGGTGTATTTCACAATACACAAGTTCAATCAAAGAAATGTTTAAACTAGCGACTTGAAAACACTGTGCTGCCTAGCGAATATTTTCTACGATTCCTAATGAATTCAAGTATATCATCTGGAGAAGATAATCGGGCAAGTCTGTCACATCCTCACTAAGTTTGGCTAAAATTTCATCCTTTCTTCTTACCGTGCTCCAATTTTACCTCAGAACTTTTTTTTTGTTCGGTACTACAAATATGACCGATAAGATGGTCAATAATGCTTGGTATTTGTTATGGTTGAAGATTGCTTAATTTTGTTAAAGACGATTCTTTTTAAATGAGCACCAAGCTGAAAAACCTTGTTGTTCACTCCTCAATCCATTCACCTTGGAAATTATAGCAAAGTGTGCTTGATATGAATCCCACGATTTCTTTCTATCATAATCTGTTGGTTTCTCAATTAGACAATTTTGTTGAAATGCCCTGTTAAATTTGATAAATATGCGAGATAGTGGTGAAGCTGTAATAATAAAAGTAGTGTTAACAGGTGTAGAACAGATGGTTCCATCTATTCCATAGTTAATTGTTTGAGGTTTAAGTTCTTGAGTAGATTCAGAGAATGGTGTGGCTGTTTTGATCCTTGTGTTTGCCAGTTCAGTTTCAAATATTTTATCCTGGCATTGACGTTCTTTTGTACGTTATTGATTTTATTACGCTCCTTCTGTACATCTCCTATGGCTTTTTTTCTTCTTTTTCAATCTCTAGATATTCTATGGTTCCTTTAATCAATGCTTTTTTGTTCGTAATTGAGCATGTATTGTAATTTAGAAGTTGGGTCTTGATTTTATTATTAACAAAATAATCCAGCTTCTGACACTACTGTTAAAATTGATTCTTTTATTGGGCAAATTCGTTTGTATTATTTTGCTAAACATTAATGCAAAATCCAGTCCACTTAATGATAATGAAAAAATGTTTAATTATTCTATTAAAACTTTTTTGGTTAGCTTGATTAACGCTCACTGATAGGAATAAATTCACATTAAATGTCAACACAACAATTTTACTAATTTTCTCTTGTACTTCTATTTCTTCACTGAAGCACAAACTCGATATTCACAAAACAGAGCGGACTGACTAACTAGCTGTCAGTAACACACAAATTGACTCAATAATTAATCATCATTTATTCTGGCCTACTTATGTTCAATACTTCAAATCATTTTCTAAAGTTTCAAGATCTAGTCATTAAGTTATGCCCATCACACTACATCAAACGTATCTCTGGCCAAAAAACAATATAAACATCTTAAATGAGAAAGTTAGCCTACAACAGTATCAATGGTTTAGGTCCCAAACTGGAGCTACATAGTTAAAAGTCATCTAAGTTAACAATATTATTGTAGTGATGTATTAACTCATGTTTTTTCACGTCAAAAGAAAAAAAATTACTAAGTTGCATATTAAAATTATTAGTTTTGATGATCCTATGGTATTCTTCAGTGTATGGATTTCCTGCACAGTAAACAGGTAGGGTATGCTAAAAAGGAAGTTCAATCAATACTGAGTAGCAGAGTATGGTTTTGTGTCTCCCTGAACTCTGACTGAGTTTGTCTCGAAGAAAGAGTCCACACACAAAATGCCCAAAACAACCACCTTTATTAAAACAAACACAATGAAAAACAACAACTAAAGCATGTATTTGTAACAGGTGTGTGGAACTGGTCAGAGAGAAAGAGAATGTGAAAAGAAATCTTTATTGGTTATCTCCCACTGATTCAGTGTGAGCCCCTCCTGTTAGCTACATGATAAGGTTAAATTATAAAGATAAAACCCCACAATGTTAAACTAAAGCAAAGTTTAGCTCTCACAATTATTATTAGCTATACTGATTGCCAGGTTGATTTTTAGTTTCATTCTAACTACATAGCTGCAGGTGAGAGACTGGCTTGAAATATCAAAATAGAATAACATAAACAAAGCCAGACTGCTCACAATATGCACCTCATTTATGTGATTGCAAATAAATCATGTTTGAAAATGGGTGCAGAGAATTCCCATGCCATTACTTGATCTACAGACAGGAAAAAAAGCTGCCTATTTTGGAACATCACAAGTGAAGTCACAGTTATCCTTCCAAGAAATACAAGAAAACCTGCTTAACGACCAATTAGTGAATCTAGTCTCATGTGCAGCTACAGTAAGAAGTTATTAAAACTGAATAAAAAAAACAACAGAAATATCAAAACATTTACATATCAATTAAGGAGGAAGCAAACATATGGTCCATTAATACTCATACAATACAGTGGTCCTACTGCATATTAAGAAAAATGAAGTAAATAATTTGGGTTGTTTGATGAGCTTTTAAATATATGCAGTCTTTACACTTGCCATATTGGGTGTCCAGGAATTTTAAATCTGAACAGCAACTTATGTATATGTAATAAACAGCCAGGTTAAAGCCCCTAGGATTCAGGTATAGTCCTCCCTAATTTTGAACAAATGACTAAAGGAAGGCCAGCCAGCAGCATCTGCTGTTACAAGGTTTGTTTGTTTTTGATTTCACGCAAAGCTATATGAGGGCTATCTGCACTAGCCGTCCCTAATGTTGCAGTAAAAGACTAGAGGGAAGGCAGCTAGTCATCACAACCCATTGCCAACTCTTGGGCTACTTTTTTTTTTACCAACAAATAGTGGGATTGACCATCACATTATAATGCCCTCATGGCTGATAGGGCAAGCATGTTCGGTGGGTCAGAGATACGAACCCATGACCCTCAGGTTGTGAGTCAAGCACCCTAACCACCTGGCCATGCCGGGCCACTGCTATAAAGATGTCTCTTTCTACCAAAGTGATGGGATTGACTGTCACTTTATAATGTGTCCACAATTGAAAACACAAAGCATATATTCAACAGCAGCTAATTTTGAGCTTTTGATTCTTCAGTCCTCAACATGGCTCACTAAGCCTAGACTAGTATTTGGGTATCTTAGCTTAGCAATATCAAAAAGGGAAAGTAGGAAAACTGGTTCTTGAAATTATTTTCCTACAAGTCATGCAGGCTTTTTTTTTACCTAGGTTAATGTGAATAAAAACAGTTTTACAATGACATAAACAGGTAAATATCCTATAGTAACACAAGAGTACAGAGTTCTCCTTAAATCCATAAATCAAAAGTTTTTACTTATTAAGTTTTATAATTTTGATAATATGGTGCCTTTTAATTTCAACTTGTTCATTTTAATATGCTTATATTTTGGAAATTGTATAATGATCATAAACAGTTACTTGCTACTGGTCTGGCTTGCATAAACTTTTTTTTACAAAAATTTCTCTTATAGATAAGTAAAACTACCACTAGTCTAAGCTACAAACAAGTTATAACATGGCTGACTCCCATTTTACTCCCAGAATATTTCCTACAATTCTGTAAGAGCATTCATTAATGAATACCATTTGGTATCTTTAACCTTATGTACACATGGGTTAAAGGGTCAAATCAGAGACAGGGAATGCTAGTTAGCAGTACCTGCCACCATAAGAGCTTTGACTTTGTACTGAATAATGGGATTGGTTAGTAATATCATAATGTATCCACAGTTGAATGTGCCAAATGTACTTGATGTCATCACAGAAGGAATAGACCTTCTGATCTGTAGCCCAGCAAACTAACTACTAGGCCATTTCTATAAAAAAATCAGCATTGCTCTTAGCAATAGTAAAAGGGCTCACTAGAGCTTTGTGTAACATTCTGATTAAATAGCAGATCTTCTATAGGTTACAAAAACTACATGGTAATTAATAAATAAAATGATATAGTACTGTTAGCAGCAGTGATGTAAATAAATTATAACTTTCTCTTTAGAATATTTCATAAGTGTTTTATATGTCAGTTCTACATTGACTTGAACAGATTAACAGCACACAGTTCTCAATATGTTCCATTAAATCAAAATCCTTTATTTCTATCCGTGTTGATGTGTTTCTCTCAAATTTAAAAGATTGACACACTAATATGCTGTTTGGAAATTTCTGTGAGACATTTCTAGTCAGTCCAGATTAACAAATATATGCAAATTACACCATGCAAGGTCAGCCTTTGCTCCCTCTCCCCCTCCAAAAGGCTTTTGTGAAATAATGCTCCTGGTCACAATCTTCTTGTGATGGATTCTCTGGTAGGATCTCTCTTACTGGCTAGTATAACTAATCATACAGTATAAGCAAGCTAGTCCTGCAATACTTTTTAAAATAGTGACAAAAATAAACAGATTGATAAAATCTTAAACATGCTTTTTTCATAAGAAACTGGTGAATAAAGCATCAGTAAATCTTTAAACCAGAAACATCCTGCTTAAAGTACTGAGGAATTAATCTTTTCAATTTCATAGTATTCCCTTTGAACCCTCAAGTATAGTATGCTACGTAGCAATGGAAAAAAAAAGTCACTAAAATCACTGAGTATCCAAATTCACAGTATGCTGTTGTATCCTTGCAAGCAAAATATTTTGTAGTGTATTATGCAACATCACATCTGGGGTTTTATTTTTTGCACATTGTGCTGCTAGGTTTTAGCTGTAAAGGCAGTAATGTTCCAAGGGTCAAGAGGTGCAGCCATCCAGGGTGCAAATCTATGGGAGGTGTAAGATCTGGGTTGATGCTCCTGTCATAATAAAGATAAAATAATTAAAAATTATCTTTAGTTCTTATAGGGTAGGAACAACTGTCACATCTAACACTTTTGTCCAATGAACACGAAATGGCAAGCATCATCAAACTACGACAAAGTAACTGACAAATTTTCAACCCTGAAATCTATATGAATAAATATGAGCAGGATACAGAAATCATGTCTAAAACTGTGTGTTTAATATTAGTGGTAATTAATTAACTATTAGCTGCTGTCTTTTAATGCCTTAAGTTGCCTATACCTTTGCAATTCATTGCAATGCAAACTGAAATAAATTTGTTATAATTTTGGGATCTAATTATCTATTGATCTTGACAATTTTGTGATTCTCTCTGTATAACTTATATGCAAATATGACTATTTGGGTTTTCCATTTGAAATCGTACGAAGATATGTAGTATTAAAAAAGTTCCTCTTAGATTTTGTATTTTTTTAGCATTATGTTAAAATGTTTTGGTTTTATCCATTCAAATTTGTACCTCTAAGCTATTCAAAATTAAAATAGTGAATTTAGACAAAAATGGTGCCAATCACCCACATTTAAATATATCACTATGCTTTTATGCAGAGCCATTCCAAGTCGATTGTGCAGCCAGCACAGAAAACATATACTGTCCCACCCACAAGAAGCATAACCTCAATGAGGATGAACATTATACATTGGCTACATTTATCAGAAGAAAATAAAAAAGGAGGTTTATCAATAATATTACACATAGGTTTCTATAGTCTATAATACAACTTTATAATATTAAAGCAATCACAATATATATTAATTGCAAATAAATTATCAGTTGATTTGTTTTTCTTTAGCATGGTGAGAAGCTTTATAAATACACATGAGAAAAATAATGAAAAAGAAAGAATGTTCAATTTTGAGTAACAGCATCCCTGATAAGACATTGTTATAAGCAATATTTTCAATGTTTTAATTTGGATTTTTGCTAGAGGGAGCTGTTAATATCTAGAATCCTGGGTACATTACAAATATGAGAATCAGTGAAGCACTTAGTTAGCAGAGAAGTTAAAGGGTATTCAGTGAATGATTCATATCGGTGTTTGTAGTGAGAGTTATCATACCTATTCAGTAACTTGATCGATTAGCTGTGGAATACTGTAAGTTTGTTTGCGAGTTAGGCACACCATTAGCAAGAAATTTTCTTTTGTAATGTTGTACTTGAACTTAGGCCTACAATTTGTGTCAAAGTGATGTACCCTGTAGAAATGTTATAAGAAATAAAGTAATTCACAACTGATACATGCATTATTTTTACCAAATAACCCACCCAATAACTGAGAGCATTACAGGAATGTAGATGGTAAACATGCAATTCATTTGTGCATATCTTATCGTGATTAAGAATACTGTTTCAAATTGGTAATGATATTTATCCTTTGCTTACTTTGGAGGGATGAAATGTTTCAAAGAAGTCAATCATTACAAATATAAATTAATTTTTTAACATTTTTCTGAAACGGAATAGAGAATAAAAACATTTATAAGTGCTATGCTAATACTCCAGTTTAAAATATATATAAATTAGTATTTAAAGCAGATTCCAATTAACTATACTGACACAAAAACAGGAATGTATTTTCAAGGTTTTGATTCTGTTATGGCCCAAAATAATTTAATAAATTCCAAATTCAGTTTTGTACATATGTGTGTCACAGAAAAAAAATGCACACCTGGTTTACAAACATGTCACAAGCATATTTATTGTTGAACAAAAATGAGATGAAAAATATGGTTTAAAAATCATCAAAATGAAGTCCTTAGTACCTAGATGATCGCCCTCGTCTGGATCCAAAAGAACCCCTGGGTGGTGGTGGAGAAATAGCTATATCCATAAAGTCACCAATCTGAAACCTACACTGGGAGAGGGTCTTATTATCGTCAACTCCCTTCTGCCCAGAGCAAGTACTACCAATGTCTGTCATCCTGCATCCTATACCACGATGATCAGGAATAACAAGAGCAAAGTCAAAATATGTCCCTTTACGCCTAGCATCTGGATTAACTTCCTTGACTAAACTTGTCAACTCTTTCAAAGTAGCATCCATCCTAGAGTTCAAGGAAAATAAACTTAGCTGAATGACTTTTTGGGAACCAAAAAAAATCATAAAAGTAAAACAATTAAACCATTTCAAATGCAATTAATAAACATATACAATGTATATAAAAAAAAAAGCAAGTATAAGCATGCATATATAAGAGTAATAGGTGCAAACATGTATACTGTTTGTAGAGTTGTTAATGTTTACATACATTAAAACTTACCAACTGCACCTTTAGATTTGTTACTTATAACATATGTTACTATTAACAAAAAGAATTACAATTTCTACTGTTTGTATACTTATACTCATCACTTATTCTATGTTTATTTATATCTTTCTCTCTACAAACATATAACAAGTTAATTCTAGAATTAATTCCAATATGCCCAAAAGAAATTAAATAATTAGTCATCTAGCAAGTGTAAATGTACATAATCAGTAACAGGTGTAAACATGTGGGCAATCAAGAAAAGGTGTAAAAATATACATAATCAGTAGCAATTGTAAGTATATGGGTAATTAACTGTATGTGTTCACACATGCAACCAACAGCAGGTGTAAGTATGTGAGTAATCCATAGCAAGTTTAAGTATGTGATTAATCACTAATGAGTGACTTGTAAAAATTCTTGTAGACATTCAACTCTTGTTTCCTTTTTTAAAGCTATACATGCATGTAAGGACTCAAACTACTAATGCCTACAACAAAAACAATGTTAAATAACAGTGCAGCTACCAATAATTGCTAAACTGTTTCATCGTGTAATTTACAAAATATTCAGAACATGTACATTTAATTTCTTGACAATACTGAACAATGAATTATATATAACTCTTAATAAGTCTGAGATTATCCACAAATAAAACCCTTTACATTGAATTAAAATTTAAATACTTTAAATATTAAAATAACACAATGTACAAGATTCACCCAAAATGGTATGATATAAAGTAGTCCTGGAAATAAAAATGTAGGCAAATTCAAAGACCAAAGTTTTATATTAATCATACTGCAACACACACAAAATAATATGATTTATAACACACACACACACACACACATATATGTATATATATATATATATATATATAACAATACTTTGCTATCCACCACTTATGACAATGGCATATAATCTAATTTTGAAATCAACCAAGATTGATTTTTCTAAAATAATACTATTTCCTGTATATTAAAAAAAAGCCAATAGCCAATACTATATGCCAATATTAACTTTAACATCATTATTGAACCATAAGAACATAAATACTTGTTTTATAAAAAAAAGTATGTCTTTGTGAAACAAAAGCTAAAAATCCTTTGGTGTAATTGTTATAATATAAGCTATAAACCGATGTGTTCATCACTTTAAATACAAACAAAATATATAAATAATGAATCTCAACAATCCTCTCAACATAACCTGCACATGAAAAGAAAAAGATACAAACCATCTTAACATCCAAGTACAGTCTGCATATAAAACAAAAACAAACAAAATACCTTCTCACAAACTTCTCATCTACAACAAAAATTATGTTAAATAACAGTGCAACTATTAATAATTGCTAAACTGTTACATCATGCAGCTTATAAAATTATCAAAACAAACACTCAAAGCTGATGGCATGCTCTCTTAGTGCTGAAGATGTCAGAGAACAAAGAAATTTTCTTTTTTTAGTGCCAGTGCTTTGTGTTTCTTACTGTTTACCTTCCATCATTCCAGAAGCTTGCCATTTTACCAATCAGTGAGTGGCTAACATATATATATGATCCTCTAGCTGAATCCATAATTTTCAGTTTTATTTGTTCCAAGCAGATCGGTGTATGGGTTAACTAATAAGTGTATTAATTTTGCCTTTTTTGGGGGTTTATTTCTTTCATCATAGTCTCTGTGCTGATGCTACAGTTTAGTTTAGTTTACTTTCTGCCTTTGAAGTACTGTCAATATCAAAATACTCTGCTTCTTCAATAAGCTATGTGCAAACCCTGCTTGGGATAGATAGAGATGAAAATATGCATGCTTTTCTGGCAGTGGTCAAGCAGACATGCATGTACAATAGTTTTAATGTATTCAGTTTCACAGAACCATTTGGTAAAGCTCTCCAGCATTATGTTACACAGTATACATTCCCCTATATGACTGTTCTTCTTTAAGTACCCATATGAGAACAGTGATACTGGGAATTATGCAAGATACACAAGCACCGGAAATTACCATTTCTAAAGTAATTTTTTCAACAGGAGTCAAAGTTTCAATCTGATTTGTGACAGTGTCCCACTGTTCAGCACTCAGGCATGAAAATAATTCAAATTAAGTGTAGTAAACATTAAATACACAATTCTGTTCTAGCATTCTCCATAACATGTGCAAAGACAAATTTCAACATGTTGACACTGACTTTATGCTGTGTTTGAAATGAAATGTTGCTTGTTTTAGTTTAGCCAGAATGTCCACCAATTAGAAACACCATCACTAGTTTTAGTACAATAATAGAGTACGTACATCAATTAAGTACATTCCTTTCATCTTGTTTGCTTCACTGCCTCTCTAAATTACATGTACTCAATTTGTAGTGATCTCTCAGTATTTCAGCATATCCATAAAAGTCTGTGACTTGTGCTCTTCAGTAAAAGATCCTTAAATTGGCTCTAAACTGATAACAGTTGACATTCTTTTCCATACTATCATTTCAGTGAGCAGTAAAACTCATACAGAAATACAGGTTTTACATCTAGGATTGCTACAAGGTTATGATGAAATATAAAAAAAAAAAGTACAACAAAAAATAATTTCATACATATGAATAATACTCCACATAAAACCCCAAAACACAAGTACATTTCCTTCATTTGCATTTTACAATCAGAACTTGAAAACACTATTTCACTCTACTGTGAAACATAATTCTGGAAATGTACCTCCTCTAATTTGTCAGAGTAAACCAAAAGTCAAAGTTTTTATTTGTTCTTATAATTCTAGCTGCCTTTCATAAATTACATCCTAGATTCATAATACAAACTAAGGGTCAAACTAAAGGTTAACATTTTGTTTCTCCCATTTTCAATTTGCCATAAGTTATAATGCCTAATACTTTGTAGCACTTATTCTCCTATAAGCCCAAGGTATTATTTTCATGTTTTTTTCAAACTTACATTTTGAGCAAATTTAAATTTACACTTTTTAAAAAAATCCCACATCTCAAAACATTTTTCTACAATCATAAATATAAAGCATTTCTTCATTAAAACGTTATGAAGAATTATGTATGATAAGAATTAAAACACAAAATAACTAACCTAATTTTCATACCTGAAAATATGTTTCTGATAGATACGATACTTTTTTGCACATAGTAGCTATCCCTTGCATGACTGCCTTTGAGATTTTGTGCAGGACTCCAGCCTTGAGCTATCTCCCACCTAAGATACAAGTTACTGGCATATTACATAATAGGTGGTATCCGGCACTAACTTGACATGGACACCCTTGCCCTACTTCCCACCACATTGTGTGACTAGAAACTAGTAATGGCAAGGGTTTCCTGTGCTCCACTCCATGACCAGTGGGGAGGAATTCACATTGGAGAGACACCAGAGGGTGCCTGGACCTAATCAGATCTAACCACCATAATGAAGAATGGAGAAGGTGCAATGGTTTACTACAAAACTTAATTTGAAAAGCTGGCAAGCACAGCCAAGGTGAATGGGGAGACACTTTCCTGGTTCTGCCTTTTTCCATGATAGTCCATGGAGAGTACAGTACACACAAACCACCATAGTGGTCTTGCAGAAAACCCCATCTCAACTGTGGGCACTTTAGGAGTCAGGACAGATGGGATTAACAATTTCCATTACCCTTTACTCAATGCAAGTTTAAAGAAGTAAGTATTACCTGTAAAGCAACATAGGCCATCAAATGGATTTTGAGAAATGAATAGGAGTACATTATAAACAGGTAAGGAAATAAAGAGGCACCTTTCCATTAAAGATGGTGAGTAAACTGGAGAATGGTGACTGGAGGGAGGCAAAGTCCTGAGGAAGACAAAACTGCCAGATAGTGGAAATAATAGGAGAAAAAGATGTTGGGTGTAGTCCACACTCCAGCCTGGAGGATTTCTTCATCCTCAAAAGTGTGAGGCCAGAGAGTGAGTGAAGTAGCAGATATAACATGATGAGACAAGATACAACCTGCAAGCATATCGATCTAGGGAGGAATAGATGATACAGATGAGCTAACAACTCCCTCCAGTAAGCATACAGAAAGAGAGATTCCTGGAAGAAGAGGGGAGCCCATGACAGGAATAAATGATTGTTGAAGCCAAGTATGCCAAGTAACATCTGACCATCCAAACTGGACACAAATGCAATCAGAGCCAGTACAATTAGAGGCCGAAGATCATGGAAGAGATATGGGAGAAAAGGTATATGATCCCTCCTAAGCAGCCCAACTCTTAGGAAGAAATGAGTGGTCAGGGAATAAAACCAAGGAAGATCTTTGAAATAATCTATGGAAAGCACCTAATGCATAAAGTTCAGATCTGTGATGACCACCAGCAAGAAGGAAATAGGCTTTAAGAGATAGATGGAATAAGGAGTGAGTGATCAAAAGGCCAGAGTACAAGTGCATAGAACCACACCAAGTTTCCAGTAAGACAAAGGAACTGGAAGAGAGAGATGATGAATTAGGAAGGACTAGAACAAAGCAGAAAGAACACGGCAGGAAAAGACAAAACCATAGCAAAAAAAAAAAGGCGAAAGATAGTCGACAAGTCCTCCCAATAGTCTGTGATAGTAGAAACTGACAATCCTTGATTGAATAACCAGGTAAAATAGGCTGAAAGGTGGTCAAAAGTAGGACATCCAGGTGGTAAAGGGCAGTGAATGGACCAACTGGGAAAAACACACTGCTTCTATTGACAGATAAAGAGACTGGAAGGGTGATATGAACAAGATAATAAAAGGGCTATGCAGCCAGAGAAACCTTACTGGTGAACAACACTCCTA